TTCATATTACTTTGCTTTTAAGAAAGGCCTCCATTAGTACCTGTTTTCACTAGCCAAAAGAAACCTGAAGAGGATTTTCACTCTTATGAAAAAAGGTGCAAGTAAAAATAGCATTCAACGTTTGTTTTGCAGTGAACGTTACAGAGGCAGCTCACACTCTGAGGAGCTAGAGTGGCCCCACCAAGCTCCTTCCTGGGGAACTACACTCAGCATCTTAGCATCTCAGCATCAGCCCGCTAGAGCTTTGAATTGCATCTCTGAGCATCTGTGCTTTATCTCGATTTATTTTATGCATTCCTGCTTTTACCATATGTTGGTGTTATTTTAGGTTTTATGTGTTATTTGGTAGGTTATTTTTTGGGGGGGGTCTAGAATGCTTAACATTTTTTTTCATGTAAATTAATGGTAATTGCTTCTTTGTTTTATGCCATTTTGGTTTACGAAAGGTTTCATCGGAACACTTTCTTTTCAGGTAGTGAGGGAAACCCGTACTGTTAGGTCTCTTTCTCTAGTGCTTAATTTGTTCTCTTTGTCCTGGTGAATATTTGGTGATTGGAATACCTGGTTTAGCTAGAGAGAGCATTGACTGTGGCAAAATGCCAGGCTCATTTTAATAATTACTATGTTTTTTAGCCAATGGCTTGAAAATGCTTTGCTCTCAGGCCTCAGATGCTTTTTCCCCACCACAAGTAAATCCTATTCACCTATCTCAGTCCAGTTTAGTATGTTCATTTCTTTTCATTGTGAATGTTCTTGCAGAGGCAATTTATGATATTTTAAGATGTGTGGGTTATTGTAAGAATAATGGGTATTTTTTATAATTTTCATCATAGCTGTTGATTTAGCTAATCACTAATTATTACTACTGTCTTTATAATGTGAGGAAACAAGTGGAACAAAAGGTGGCTAGGTGTTTTTCTCATCACCTGATTCAAAGGAAGGGAAAGTCTGATTAAGGATATTGAATCTAGTGGTGCAAGTCCACGTTATGACTATTAACTTCTTGATGCAAGCTCATTAGTCAGAATTTGAGGTGCTTCCAATGAATCTGATGGCACAGTGTCCATAATCAAAAGTAAATCCAATTAGTGACTTTATCTAAAAGATTTTACTTACTGGACATTGTCAAGTAGTCAGACTAAATGTGGTAGAAGCCAGTATTTCGTGATTAATAAGGCCTAATAGGAAGATTTACTAAAGAATATTTGAGATGTTAGGTACTGTCTCAAGTATGATTGGAGTATAATTGGAGTCCATGACTGTGTTTAAGTGCACATTGAGTTCTGATGGGAAGTGGAGGAATTCTTGGTTATCAGAAGAAGGGGTGGCCAGATTAATCAGAACAGCATGTTACAAGTAGTTCAAGTTGTGAGCCACGTTCTTTTAAATTGGTTTAAACAAGTGAAAAAATCTGTGAAAACCGATGTTCCCATTGCAAGGTTTAACCTCTCTCCTCTTTAAGCCAGTATATTTTACAACAGTTTTGTCAGTTTGTTATCTCCGGTTGTAAGGTTCATATTGGCTGAAGTTGTAGGCCAAGGACAAAACTGTAAAGCAAGTGAAATTTGTCTTTGAATCCCAACCACTTATTCATTCTGTGCCTTTTTCACCATTTAGATTTTCTTATTTATTATCCCCTCCTGATTCAAATCACTACTGCCTTCCTCTTGCCTTAGATAGGCCCAACTCTACTAACCCCCCTCTACTGCAGTCTGTGTAGCCTTGGTTTATTATTCAATATCCTCTAATCCACTCATTCCATTATAACTAGTCTTATCCTAACAAGGCATTAGGAAAGCAAACAAGAAAATCTTGGCTCTGTCATTCTTAGTTAGGTTAGTTTCATATTGCTGATGCAATAAATACCACAAACTTAGTATCCTAAAACAACACAAATTTAGTATCTTACAGTTCTAGAGGTCAGAAGTCTAAAATGGGTATTACAGAGCTGAAATTAAGATGTTGACAGGAATGAATTCCTTCAGGACATTCTAAGGAAGTATTTGTTTTCTTGCCCTTTCCAACTTCTAGAGACAGCCTGTATCATTTGGATCCTTGCTTCTTTCTCTGTCTCTACAGCCAGCAACGTAGGATCTTTAAATCTCTCTCTGACTCTTCTATAGTTACAGCTCCTCTGACTCTGACCTGTCTGTCTTCCTATATTATAAGGACCCTGTGATTACATTTGACCCATCTGGATAATCCAAGATGATAGCCCCATTGAAAGATCTTTAAGTTAATTACATCTGCAAAGTCCCTTTGCCATGCAAGGCAACATATTCACAGCTTCCTGGGATTAGGACATGGACCTCTTTGGGGGACCATTTATCTGCCTAACATACTTGTCATGTAAACTTGGGTAAATTATTACATTTCCCAACCTTGTTTTTTCGTCTGCAAGATGATGATGATAATAGATTTCTCAAAATATTGTTATGAAAATGAGATAATGCACCTAGAGTACTTAGAACAGGACCTGGTACTTTCGTAAGCAATTAACAAATTATATTTTAAGAAACTTGAGGGTAGAAGGACAGAGTAGAATCAATTCTCAGGCAAAATGGCAGACATTGATTAGGCTGCTTCCACAACTTTGTTTGAACAAACAAAATGAAGAAGAAAAAGCTAGTATAAGGGAGAAAAATGCCAAAATTTATCTGTTGTCAAAAGCATCCTCATCTTTCACAGTTTCATTTTTTTATTACCCCTAGCCCTGAAACTTGAGCATAAGTACCCACTAAATGGAGAGCTGATGGTAATTCTTAAGCCTGGAAGGAACATGAAAAGTCATCAGATTGGACACCTCAGAGCAACCAGCACTCTCCCATGCCTGAAACTTCCCATTCTGTTTTTAGACAGTTTCAATAATTATAAAGTTCATCCTATTATTAAGCTAAACCGACTCTTTATAATGTCTTTCCTTACGTTGTATTTGCACCTGCTTGTTTATCATACATGTAGTGTTTCATCTCTTTGACAGTGTTTCCTTAGCTGTTTGAAGACAGCTGTCCTGTATCTAGCCTCCTTCTGCCCCACCCTTAAGTTTTTTCTTTTTCAGAGTAAACAAACCTTGTTCCTCATACTAAAATTTAACATAGATCAAGGTAGCAGGGGGGAAAAAAAGAACTGAAACAGTAGTTCTTTTTTTTTACTTTGTGACCACATCCTCTTGTTCATCTTTAACATCAGGATGGATAGACCATGGATATGGAATGGAGAAAAGTCAGACAGGCTCTCTAGATTGCCAGCACTACTAGCCTGGCCTGAGCCACCATTATTTTTTTCTGAGACTACTGCAATAGCCTTTGAAATAATTACCTCTTGCTACCTCTGACCTGGATCCCTATGTTACAGATAAGAGCACAGATCAGAGAGTTTAAATAAATGACTTAGCCAAGGTCATGGCATAGTGGAAGAATTGACACCAAGACTATATTTATTCACACTCTATAAGAAAAGGAAGCATAGCCAATGAAATAAAAAATTGAGCCATGAAATCACTCCAGCTGGAATGAAAATAATAGCACATTTGAAAATTATTTTGAAAGAACTTAGGGTCCTGGTTCTAAGAAAGATGGGATAAGCACAATCAATCCCTTCTCTTCTACTGAATGCAACTATAAATCCTGGACTGATTACGTGGAACAATTATAAAAAGTCTCTAAAAATAAATGACAGCATGCAGATTGGAGACTAAGACCTCAATTTGAAGTTCAACCAAAACAGTGGTGAATTTACCAGTTTTTACTCCAGTATCACCCAGCCTGGACTCCAAGACAGACCAACATCTGCAAGAAGGAAAGGTGAATGCTCTTGAAACTAATGGAAAAGTAGAATACCTTATTTAAAAAAAATATATAAAGGAGAACCAAATGGATATTTTAAAACTGAAAAATAAAATGTCCAAATTAAAAACTTCACTGGATGGGCTCAACAGCATAATTCTTAAAAATGAACAGAGCCTCATGGAACTGTAGGAAATACCAAAAGCTCTAATGCTAATGTATCATCAGAGTCTCAGGAAGAGAGAAGAAAGACCATGGAGCAAAAAAATTATTTGAGGTAATAATTGTTAAAAACATTCTAAATCTGGAAAAAGGCATAATTTTTATTTAAAATTCAAGAAGCTCAGTGAATCCCAAACAGAATAAACGCAAAGAAATAATCTTCAAACACAACATAATTAACATGCTGAAAACTAGAGACAAAGAATAATCCTGAAACAGTCAGAGGAAAACAATGCATTTCATAAAGAGGAACAAGGATACAAATGATTGCAGAATTTCCATAAGAAATCATGGAGGCCAGAAGTAATTCAACAGTTTAAAGGGATAAAAGAAAAAAAAGTCAAATCAATATTATACCCAGTGAAAATACTCTATATCCAATGAATACTTTATTGTCAAGACTGAAAGTAAAATAACATTTTAAATGTAGAAAATTAAGATAATTTGTCACAAGCAGGCCTACTCTAAAAGAAATGTTAAAAGAAATTATTCAGTGCAGGGTAAATGATATCAGAGGGAAATGTGGAATGTCAGGAATAAAGGAAGAACAACAGACATGGTAAAATCTATTAAGACTATTGTTTTCTTAAGTTCTTTGAAATATGTGTAAGTTGAAAGCAGAAGTTATAGCACTCACAGAGAGGTATTTAATGTATGTAATATATATAACAACTACAACATTAAAAGGAGGAGGTGAAGGGGTCTATTTCATGGTAAGTTTTCTATATTCTTCTTGAAATGGTAAGATGCAAATTCTAATTAGACTGTGAAAAGTTAAGTATGTATATTTTATAACCCTCAAGTTTTTTTTACAAGGAAATGTAGTCAAACGCTTAAGAAATAAAATAAAATGGAATTCAAAAAAATCTATAAGTAAAAGCGGAATATGCTTACCAGTATTAGACTGGATATCCTTCTGGACAACCTTCCGGACAAAGCAGGGGCTGCGAGGGAAGCCCAGGTCTTGGGTGACAGAGGGAAGCTGGTGCCGGCAACCAGGGGAAGGAAGGCCTACTCTTGCACAAATTTCGTGCATCGGGCCTCTAGTATCCAAATCCCAAAGAGGGTGGGAGAAGAAAACAAGAGCAGAGAAACCTGACAGAACAAACCAAAAACAATAATGAACTGGTAGGTTTAATCCAAATATATTGATAATTACATTAGGAAAAAATAGTTTAAGACACTAATAAAAAACTGAATTTACCGAAAAGAAAAACCAACAAGTATATGTGGCCTATAAGAAACTAATTCTAAATACTATTCTACAGGTAGGTTAAAAGTAAAAAGATGTAGCCTTCACCAGTTTGCTCAGTGGATAGCGCATCGCCCCATGGACTGAAGGGTCCTGGGTTCGATTTCAGTCAAGGGCATGTACCTCGGTTCCTGGACCCAGGTAAGGTTGCATGCGGGAAGCAACAAATTGATGTGTCTCTCTCAAATCTATGTTTCTCTCTGTCTCTCCCCCTCCCTCCCTCTTTCTCTAAAAATCAATAGAAAAAATATCCTCGGGTGAGTATTTAAAACAAAACAAAACTAAAAGGATGGAAAGAAATATACCATGGGAGCACTAATCGAAAGGTATGTGGGTAGATATACTAACGTCAAAATAGACTTTAGGAAAAGGAAAAGTATCAGAGATTAAGAAATACATTACATAATAACAAAAGGGTCAATTCACCAAGAAGGCATAACAATCCTAAGTATGCATGTACCTAACAGCAGAGCTTTAAAACACATGAAGTAGACACTGAAATGACAACAGTGGGACTTGCAGCAGGTCAGCTGACTTGAATGCAGGTTTGACAGCACTATCTGTGCTTAGCGGTGAAGAGTCCTGGATGTGGACTCAAAATGCGGCATTGGAATCCTGGCACCACCCTGACTCCTGGCTTGGAATCTGCTTCTTCTTCTGTAAAAGGAGATTAATAGCTGGATCTCCTTTAAAACTTTGGTCACATGTAAGTAAAGTGCTTAGTTCATCCCCTGGCACACAGTAAGTGCTGGAAAAACAAGGGCTGTTAACCACTTGGATACTTACTTTCTCCGCTGGTAATAGAAATAGCACCCTCACTGTCAAGGGTTTAAAACAGTACGTGACAAATATGTTCTTTAGCCGGTATGTTAGTATTTCCACAAAGAACACAAGTCCTTATGGTTGATATTTGGTTATAGAAATGGATGAAGAAACTTGAATTTAGGTCTTTTTGATACAAAGCACAGTCTTCCTTCTACTTGAAACTGCACCCCCATTTCTTCCTCATTTTTGTTGCATAATGATCCCTTCCTGAGTAGATGTCCATGAATGTATTACATTTCTATATCTATAAAATCTTGATAAAATCTTTATAGTTATAGACTATATATATTTATAGCCTCAAAGATAAGAAATAGTAGTCAGGATTAGGAGCAAGAAGGGAGGGAGAGGAGCAGAGAAAAAGTCTCCTGTCATGACTTTTCTGAGCATAGCTGTGGTTAGCTCGCTGCGTTCATGCACTCGTGAAGCAGGAGCAGAAATTACAAGCACCCTGGCTATCATTGTACATATAGGTCACCTCCATTACTTTAAGTGATAGTGCAGCTTTTTCAAACAGGCAACACTCTCTTTCAAGTATTGACGTCAGCAGGGCCTTGTAATTGTTCCTCTCAATGTCTCCACTGCCACTCCAGTCACAGATGTCCCTGAACGATGGGGACTGCTGCTTTCCAAACTACAGCATAGACACATAGACACCACCCTATACTTGGGGTTAGTAGGGTTTGGTAACCTTTGCCTCTAGCTTATTAGCTGCGTGTCTCATTTCCAGTTGGAGGTATAGGATGCTTAGGGGCTGTGGTTCAGGGTGTGCTTAGGTAGGGAGTTTATTTTATTTCCTTTCTCCTTTTTGCATTTATGAAAGTCAGTGCAAGAAGGAGATATTGGAAGACCTCAATCCACCTCAACTCAGCATGGGTGCTGCCCCTTTCATAACAGAGGACTGCCTGCCTAAATAGTTTGATTTTTAGGTGAGAATCAAAGCCTTTTCCCCCAACTTCAATTCATTTTCCCACCAGCCCTGACATATTGCTAGAAATATCAAGATGATTAAATCTGGGTTAATATGTATTTTTTAAAATATATATTTTATTGACTTCAGAGAGGAAGGGAGAGGGAGAGAGAGACAAAAACATCAATGATGAGAGAGAATCATTGATTGGCTGCCTCCTGCATGCATGTGCCCTGACCGGGAATTGAACCGTGACATCATGGTTCATAGGTTGATGCCCAACCACTGAACCACGCCGGCTGGACTGGATTAATATTTTGGCTAGATTTCATCTATTGGTCCTCTAGCAATGAGAAAGACCTAAAGGTAAAGGGGCTCGGTGAAGATATGTTTTAATGGGAACTTTAAGGTAGAGATAGAAAAAGGGATTAGAAGCAGCAGAGAATCTATGAGGGTATTTAAGGGTGCAGAGCAGAGATGGGGGAACTTACAGAACGGTGAAGGGCGCAAATAAGAACAAAGTTACTAAAAACAATTTTGCCCATTCCATCAGAAGAAATTCACCTGCTTTTTCTAAGATTCGGTGATAAGAGAATGATTCAACAATTAGTTATTCTCTGTGTCCTATCTTGTTATCACACTTAGAGTAATCTTTGCTGAACAAGAGGAAATTCTGAAGATGTTGGGTTTTAGTGATAAGGAGGGATGCATCATCACTTTGAAGTGGGTTATCTTAATTTTGCCTTTATTCACCACAAGCAAGACTTGGAACACTGTAAAACTTTGTATGTGTTTTCTCCCCTGGCTGTGTTCCCATGTCCATAATGACACTTCTGGAAAGACCAAACTCAAGTTGTGTCCCGGATGTGACCAAGACGGGAGTATTATCTAGTATCTGTATAAAATTCTCATTTTCTAAGAGAAAACGTATTAAAATAGCTCTTGAAACCTCAGAAGTCTGATTGGTTTTCTCGCTGCGTTTGAAGGCTGCTTTGCCCTGACTGAGATCTGTACATCCCTGCCTTTGTGATCGCTGGCCATGCCCTGGGGTCGGGCTAGGGCGGAGAAAGACTGAACATGTAAATCAGGGAGATGACATCTTCATTTCCTGCAGAAATCTTTTTGTATAAACTCTGTGAACTTTGCTGAGTTTAAATAAATACCCTGCAGTCTGAGATGACTGATTTCTCTCTGCACTGTCTAGAGTAACAGTAAAGTTCCAGCAAATGTAGATTTCTCAGGAAGTAGCCTCCGTCACCAGCTTCCTCAAGAAAGGAGGGAGAGCATTCCTTCGGCGCTTCACAGGGCTCTGATGTGGGTGTGGATAATGGACCACGTATGCGCCCCTGGTTGTACCTCAGGTTCTGTTCATAGTGTAGTTAACAGTGTGGGCTCTGGAATGAAAGAGGACTGGGTTGAAATCTCGTGAGTCTGGACAAATTATTAACTTCCTCTGTTTCAGTTTCCTCATCTGTGAAATGGAGGTAATAATAGTAGGTAGAGTACTTCAACCAGTTCCTGGAGCACAGTAAAGGCTCACTAAATGGCAGATCTTATTGTCATTATAGTTGCTTTTGATGTTATCATCAACATAATTATTATTCCTGAGAGGATATCTCTTTTTGATGTGCTCCACAGAGCTGGAGCCACTCCACCAATGTGAGGAACTGAAATAGCATTCTAAGCCGCGTAGGGCCAAGACGGCCAGTAGGTTTTCAGTTCAATGTACTGATTAGTTGACAGTCGCTTCCTGGAAGGCTCTGTGGACAAGAATTCTAAGGCTGCTGATGAGATTAGCAGAGCTGCCATGATCGATTATCAATGTCCACAGTAAGCACGGGAGGGAGACAGGCAGAACCCTGGCCTGGGCACTGTGGGCCGTGGCCCAGACTCTTCTTGCTCCTCCAAAAAGTACAGAAAAGTACAAATATTCTCCTTCCCGATTACATTTCTGATGCCCTTGATGGTAAAAAGGCAGTTCTTATTGGTAGCAAGCTATAAGCCAGTTCAAGACCAAACACTGAAAAATTAAGTGTGGTGTTTTTTAAAAAAAAATTGTTTAGCGTTTCATAGCTTCCTTCTGGGAAAACTATTTGGCTGTTAGACATCATAATCTGAGTAACATGGTGGTCTCCTCTTCCCCAATAATGATGATAATGGCTTATATTTTCAGAGCACTTAATTTGCAAAATGCTCTTGCATCCATTAGGACATTTTATATTCAACTATTTGGCTTTGTGGCTACGGCGAGCACAAAAGGAAGTGAAGGCAAACTGGTGTTGGGTATTTCTTAAGTCTCATTTCCAGTTCATTGATGATTCCAGCACATATGTTTTGTCTCCAAAGTGCTGGCGTTTCACTTCCAGAGTAATGGTATCTGCCTCTTGCTGTGAGTCTCCCTCTGGTTTCTTGACTTCTTAATTTATTTTCCTTTCATTTATGATTCGTCCCCACGTAATACATGTTTCTCTGTTGTTAAAATATTGCCCTCATATTGTGTGACATGCCCAAGTATTTCCTCGATGAGTCATTTATGGATCGCAGGGCCAATTCTGTTCTCAATACGAAATGCCGAGGATAAGATTAATTCCAGTTTGTACTAATGACTGCAGATTCTTAAGGCTTAGAAACCCCTGGTTGCTGCACAGATACCAAAGTGGTTAAATGGTGGCCTGTGTAGAAGGCAGGCTCTCATTTCTTTTCTGTATCAGAGTGTTGTTTTCCTGTCCTCTTTGCTTCTACTTTGGGAAGCATAATCCATTCTCTCCCACTCGTCCAGTCTCAAGAGATTTGGAACTATTTTGCAATAAAAGATGTTTAAGGTTGACCCTCCCTGCCCACGCTGCTCTCTGCTCAAATGGGTTGAGTCAGTATTTCCTCTCTCTCTAACTCAGCAATGGGCCAGCTAGTTTTGTCTGATAGATGAAGACCCAATTATAAATGACCTTCTTCAGAATTCATCTAACCAGGAAAAAAGTCAAGCAATGATTTGATTAATGGAATAAAAGAAGACTGGTGAAGCAGGATAAATTCAAACTCTAAAACCTCTTTCCTCCAAGCAATATTTTGGGAAGTTTCCATAGTAGGGTTTCTATAATGAAACTTCAAATT